GTGTTTGGTATTCTCCAGCGGATTCCCAACGGACGCCGTGTACTCCCTGAGAAAATCATCCCTCGTCTGAAGGAAGTCTTTGGAACTGGTTCGGGCAAAGGGCCTGCCGAACGAGACTCAAAGAAAGATGCCGGTCTCATGGTCGTGCTTGATAACATGCAGCTGATTGCTGATAATTGTTCAGGGATGGAGTTTAAAGATGGTGGGTTTTGTCAATGGAAACCTTTAGGCCTACATCTGACATTTCTTTTTAGATATTCTACCGCTGATTCGGCTCGGGCTGGATTCGCCCACTCACTCCTTGGTGGATGCTTCCCTCAAATGCCTCCCTGTGATGCTCCCAGTTCTTGACTTTAGTACAGTCAAGAATGAGGTATTCCCTCCCATTGCTGCTACTTTCAGCCGCACTAGCAGCCTTGCTATCAAGGTTCGTAGTCTGGAGGCTTTTAGTGTGCTTTGCGGAGCCTCTGCAGAAGTTTCTGACGGGCTTGACGATGATTTGTCCGGAATCCAGGCGACTAAGCCAAAACCAGCCAAATCCTCGATATTGGACAAGTATACTATTCAAGAAAAGCTCGTCCCGTCTCTCAAGGCGATCAAAACGAAAGAGCCATCGGTGATGATGGCATCGTTGAAGGTGTTTCGTCAAGTTGGGACCGTCGCAGACTCCGAATTCCTGGCTTTGGAAGTTCTGCCGGTTCTCTGGAGTTTCAGTCTCGGGCCACTGTTGAGCCTTAAACAGTTCAATGCCTTTATGGCTCTGATAAAAACTCTTTCAACGAGGATTGAACAGGAACAAAGCAAAAAGCTGCAAGAGCTATCCTCTGGCGCTGGACCGTCCGGCTTCCAGAATGGCGCCGACGAATTTTCGCAGTCCGTCACAGGCCTCAGTTCGCCCGATGCGGACGGCGGTGCTGGCAGTTTCGAGCGCCTTGTTCTTGGGAAGAAGGCATCTCCTGCGAATGGCCAGAGTATAGATATGTGGGGTAGTATGGAGCCAGCCAAGCCAGCCACACCAGCGGTTCCGAGCATGTCACCTTCATTCTCTTGGTCTTCAAACAATGCAGGCACGGCACACCAAGCGAATGCCTTAAGCCAGCAGTCCAATATTGGCTTCCGTTCCATCACTCCAGATCAGAAACTGGGCTCTTTCCCGTCTCTTACTCCTGCTCGGCAAGCTTCACCAGTTGCTCAAGTCTTCCCTACTATGCAACCCTCATCTTCTACCTGGGGAGCCCCAGCGAATCCCAATGTTCGATCCCACACCGGCCCACCAGGTCAGTCTTTGGGGTCCATGCCGACTATGACACCCTCGAATCATATGTCCGGGCCAACGGCGCAACCGACACCCAACTACTCCTCATTCTCGATCCCCCCTCCTCCTGCAGGAAACATGGTGACCAATAGCACTATGAGACCACCTCCGATGAACACAGCCAACAGGTTAACATCTTTCCAAGGCACAGCTGCGACACCGCAACAGGGAACCCAAAAGCAAGGGTTGGACAAGTATGAGAGTCTGATATAAGGACAATTCTTGTTATTTTCGGCTGATACCCCTTTTTTATTGCCTGTTATTGCTATTTCTATTATTGCACATACCCGGTATAGTAAATAGTCACTGCAACAGCTGTAATTAAGCAAAGCTCCAAAGAGAACGATCAATTACCCAGGTAGCAAATCAAAACGATGCCAAGCAAAAGTAGATCGGAACTCCATTGGTGATCCGACCGTGGCAAAGGAAACACGTACCTGATTGGTGCCTCTTCATGATATGTCATACTTCGTCGTGAAGCCCCTCCATATGCACTCTATGCGTGGCATTGCGCGGAGATCCGTGTTACCTTTGTTACCCCTCCATCGAATCTCTCGCCTATCGACTCCCCAACTGGCAAACACATTCTCCTCGTATTCTCATCTAAACCGCGCCGCCATGGACGAAAGCATCAAACAGCATTACTTAGCTGACTCGCCTCCTACCGTGGTGAGACTGGAAGTCAAGTCACACTTCGATACCCTCAAAGACCAAAACTTGAGGAAATATGCGCACTTCATGAGCAGGTACGGTGTTCCTGCGATACACCCGCCAATACCACGCCTTCTAAGAGCTATTGGCAGCTAACTTTTCTGGAATGTATACAGAGCCGCATTTGAGGGCACTCGAGTCACCCTGCGCCAGGTTTCCCCCGAGTCCGAACCCATCTACGACCTCATCCTATCACTGTACCATGCTTCCAATGGCGACTGGAACAGCCTCGCCCAGAAGACACAAGTCAGCTCCGAGGATCTCCGTTTCTTCCTTGAATATGCGGGACAATTCTTAGGCAACTGCGGAAATTACAAGGGCTTTGGTGACTCGAAGTTCATTCCTCGGCTGTCCGCATCCGCATTCGAAGCTCTGTCATCGGCTACTGCGGAGACGAAGGCGGCTTTCCAGAAGGCTAGCACCACTGGAGGAGGGATATACGAGACCAGTGAAGAGTCGATGATGCACCTAGGATATCCCAAGCAGGGGCACATGACCACCTACTACCCCGATTCCCCAACAATCTCACAGGAGGAAATCACAGCAATTGGTGACTTGATGGAGAAGAAGGGACTTGCGTTGGAGAACACCAGAATCCGGAAGACATCCTCAGGTGATTTCGAGCTTTTGATCGCGTCTGGTGTTTCGTCGCCTCCTGTGAAGGACCGGGATCTCGGCGATGTGGTCGCATTCGAGCTTGACGGAGACCTGAAGGGAAAGACGCTGCGTCTTGTCTTCGGTGACCATCAGGAAGAGATGGCAAAGATCGCGCACAGCGTCAAGCAGGCGGGACTTGCTGCTGCAAATGAGAACCAGAAGAAGATGTTGGACTCATATGCTCTTTCATTTGGAGCTGGTTCAATCGAGGCTTTCAAGGAGAGCCAGCGCATCTGGGTTAAGGACCAAAAGCCAGTCCTGGAGACGAACCTGGGCTTTGTTGAAACATACAGAGACCCCCATGGTGTGCGCGGAGAATGGGAAGGCTTCGTTGCTTTGGTATGACACGTGACGAGTTTATATTTACTGCTATCTCTAACATTTCTAGGTTAATCTGGAGCGCACCAGAGCATTCGGGACGCTGGTTGACAGTGCCGAGAGCATGATTCCCAAGCTGCCCTGGGGCACAGACTTTGAGAAGGACAAGTTCCTCAGCCCCGACTTCACTTCATTGGAGGTCTTGAGTTTCGCCTGCTCGGGTCTCCCAGCTGGTATAAACTTGCCTAATTATGATGACATTCGCCAGAACCTTGGCTTCAAGAATGTGTCTCTGGGCAACGTTCTCAGCGCCAAGGCTCCTAACGAAGCTATTCCTTTCATTGCTGAGAGAGACCAGGAAGTCTTCCGCGCATTCCGCGACCCGGCCTTTGAGGTCCAGGTCGGCATCCACGAGTTGCTGGGTCATGGGACTGGTAAGCTGTTGCAGGAGACAGCGCCAGGGAAGTACAACTTCGACATTGAGAACCCACCCATCAACCCCGTCACCAACAAGCCCGTGTCGACCTGGTACAAGCCTGGACAGACATGGAGCTCGGTATTTGGTTCAATTGCTTCGTCATATGAAGAGTGCCGTGCTGAGTGCGTGGCCATGGTTCTTGGCTGCGACTTTGGCATCCTGAAGATCTTTGGATTCGGTGATGGCAAGGAAGACTTGGCCGGTGAGGCCGGCGACGTCCTGTACGTGGCCTACCTTTCCATGGCTCGCGCAGGTTTGGTCGCCCTCGAGTTCTGGGATCCGAAGACCCAGAAATGGGGCCAGGCACACATGCAGGCTCGGTATAGTATTCTGCGCACCTTCCTCGATGCCGGTGATGACTTCGTCAAGTTGTCTTACAGCAAGGAGGATCTCTCTGATCTGGAGATCCATCTTGACCGGTCCAAGATTTTGACTCACGGACGTCCTGCCGTGGAGAAGTACCTCCAGAAGCTGCATATCTACAAGAGTACCGCAGATGTTGAGGCTGGTAAGGGCTTGTACGACGATATTACCTCTGTTGACAGCTGGTGGGGAACCACCGTTCGTGAGGTTGTTTTGAAGAACAAGGTCCCACGTAAGGTCTTTGTGCAGGCCAATACTATTCTTGAGGGTGACCAGGTCAGCTTGAAGGAGTATGAACCGACTCTCGAGGGTCTGATTCAGAGCTTTGCAGAGCGTAACGTCTGATACGACTTGTATAAAAATATCTAAATATTGAAGTATACAGATGAAATGCATATATAGCGCGTATCTATCCCCCATGGAAGTCGTTACATATACACATAAATAACCTCCCTTTTTATCTCTTCTCAGGGGGCATCTGGACGATGACTTTTGTTGTCATTGCCTAGGTGTAACTACCCCTATTCCACACCAGACTAGTCATACCAACAGTTAGATCATGATTTCTCTACCAAGTCGCATTTGATTCGTTTCGTTTTCCTTGTGATCTTCATAGTAAAAACCCGAGACATGGTTTTAAGATTATCTATGTGGCGAACATAGGGTATATTCCAAGGTTATACAGTCTATGAAAATGATCTTCGACTTTGATAATGAGTATTCCCAAAAAAAACTAAAAAGGAAATGGTTCCTATACGTACAATACTCTTGAATTATTCCAAAGTTAGAAACAAAAATCAAAAGATGGTCACAATCATCATGAAATGAGAGATCAATAGGAGGCGGTTTTGCGGGGGACCGGCTGTAAATAGGTCCAAGCATGGGCATACCTAAGGTTACCATGACTTCGCTATGCTGTAGGCACATCTAATATCATCCCACAATAATAATCGTCTCTACCTAGGGAGAACAGGAAATCCAGATTAAATCCAAAACCAAAACTAAACAAAAACAAAAATACAGAGGACACGGCACGTGCCAAGGTCTCGATGGCTAGTGAGGCGCTCGGACTTACCGCCGTCCCAAGTTGATCTACCCATCTTCCCCAACCTCTAAGCGCTCTCTTTCTCTAACACTCAATCACTGCGAATCTAGCAGATGAAGCGTATAGCTGTTTTACTCATTTTGGAGACAAAGATTCTTTCATCCTGGTGCTGAAAGTCATTGAATTGGAAAGTTGCCAGGACTCTTGAACACAGCGACTTGGACGACACTCGACCCAGATCAGTCGCATTGCTAGACTAAGTCAGCATTTTATCATTTTGCCTACACAAATCAGCCTGTCTGACGTGATTCAGGTGATAATAGAAACCACGGTGTCGCGAGAAACGCCGCCGTCGGACCCTTCAACCACGGCGTGCCCGCCCCATTCAACGGACTCCCTAGAGGAGGACGACGATTATTACACTGCACCCCCACCGCACTCCCCAGCATCAGCGTCGAGTTCCTCACCCGCATATCCTCCGCCATTTTCGTCTCTTGTCTTCTCATCACTTCCGGACACCAATCGCCCATATAAAGTTACTGAACCTGGACCAGCTTGTCCTCCAGCCTTAGCGCCTCCAGCGCCTGTCGAGGAGTCGCTCGAGCCGGCCCCATCTTCGGCAGTTGCTGACACAAAAGCGTCTTTCACTGAACCAAAAAACGAAGGCTCGTCCGACGACGGTGAACCACCACCGCCATACACAGAAGGCTATAGTCCACTTGAGTCATTCACCTACGTGATGGCTGCTGCAGGAGGCGCCTCCAGTATCATAACCCAGGTTCAGCAGACCGGGGGGCCGCCAATTAACACTCTTGGTGGTGTGTTTGACAATCAAATACGCTTTGTGTGCTTTCCGCTAACATGTTATAATAGACATCGGTGGGGATGAACACGTCGGTCTTGACCTCCGGTAGGATTGCGCTTCATTCATATCTCAATTATGCATAGTCTAACAAGTTGATAGTGGTACGCGGTTCACCCTTTCGCGAGATGAGCTGTTGACTTTGCCTGAATTCGTTCTGCTCTCTCTTTTCCCCAATGGCCTCCTCCCAGATGGACATGCCACAAATGGTTTCCATGACGGGGATGTATTCCCGGTTGACGTACGCAAATCTCCATCTTGAGTATCAAGTTCTTTCTGACAGATATTATCCAGTATGATCCGGTCTCACTTCAGTACATGCTGGATTTCTTCCGAACTGTTGCCCAAACCATCCCTTCATCTCTGCCTTCCGGCTCAAACTCACCAGACATGGAAATGTCGGATCCCATGCAGGGATCAGCCCGTGACATGCTCCAGGACCGTGCTGGCATCATTGTCCTCCGAGAGGATCTCGACTTCTATGTCATTCCCCCTCGCGCCGACATTGGGCACGATGAAATGCTTGAAGTCAAGCGGGGGGCGGGTAGGTCGTTGTTGAAACAGGATGGCATCTTTTCTGGACTCCGCAAGAGCGAGGAGATTGGATCAACCGAACAGCATCTTATTGAAATGCTGACAGCCGGGTGAGTTGAACTCGATATTACAATCATGGGCCAATGCTAATATACAATGTAGAGGATTTGATCGTGCTGACCAGTGGGGCCACCGTGCCCGGAGCCTAACAAGGCAGTAATCTGCAGTCTTGCACTGGCCAAACTCCGCACCGATATCCGCGGAGACCTGTCGAACAACAATTCCGTGGGGATGGCCCAGAAGCTTCTCTTGTTTTGGCGCAAACCTGCCCGCCGCTGCTGGTGGGAGGGCATTGAGCTGCACGACGTCGAGGGCGTCGAGGGGCCAGTAAAGGTCTGGATCCGGCGTGTGTGGACCTTGGAGATGGTAAGACCCCAATCCTCACTTAAAACTCTTTATAGCTAATCCCATCGCAGAGTGTTATTGGGCTCCGCTGATTTTTTCCCCTCCTTTCTTCTTTCCCTTGCATGTGCGATTATCATTCCCCGGCCTTGTGCCTCGAAGTTTCAACTGTTATTTTCTTTTTCTAAAGTTGCATCTAAATATGTCTGCAACAAATATTCAACCTTTCATCTTACGAACAACAGCGCTGGCGTACTCAGCAGTTTGGGTGTTCTCCTTCCTTTCGGTATCCATTTTCTAGTCTGGTTGGTAGATTTTCTTTTCTTGTGAATCAGTTAGTTTGGCTGTGGAGATTGAATATATAGTGCAGATCTAGTTGGAAATTGTAGCCTTCCCCTCACATTCCGTTTGCTTGTTTTGGGATTTGAGTCTTGTTTTCATACCACAATGAGCCCTAATACAATATGTACATACACATGTAGCTATGGCATAAGAGAAATGAGCAAAGGCCAGTGCGTATTGATGCTTTTTATTGTTTATTGATACGCCCATTGATGTCGTTGTTTTACTATGATGGTTTCCAGTCGTGTTGGCCTGAGGCACTAATCACATGATGCCCTCCTTGGAATGGGACTAGCGTCGAATTGGGCAAAGTCGCGCAGAATATCGATCTCAGAGCCAATCTCTCCAACTGGATCATATCTGGATTCCTTTGACGCGATCTTGATTTTTCTCACACATTTACTTTATGCTGTGGCATCTTACAAGTACTCGTTGTTAACCTTTTCGCGCTTGGACCATTCTCAATTGTGCCTCACTGCAGTGATCAGCCCTTCGAACATCGAGCCGATCAAAACAATCGCAAGCTCTCTCTTCTCCCGCCCATACCTCGAAGGGGCATGTTATTGTGCAATTGAGTCGCCAACATGTCCCCTCTCCGAGGCTATATCAGTTCCTACCCCCCGCGCATGCGCCAGTATGGAAACGCGTTGCTCACACCTGTCAATCCTCCGTCACAGACCGGCCCGACTCCGCGCACCACGAAGCGTGGAACCACAGCCATCAATTATGCGGAAGATGGCTTTGATGACGAGGATTTTGATGAGACCGATGGGCCCCGGCGACCGACGGGACTGGAGGAGTCTTCGGCGTGAAGAATCCGCTACCGACAAGTTGGTGCCCTACTCAGAGAAGCTGGGCAAAGAAGTGCATGCGCCGGTGGAGGTGCAAGGCCTCTTTCGCGAGTGGATGATCAAGAGAATGCTGCGACCAGCGTATGTTCCCTATTGTCAGGACTGATGTGGCCATTAACGAGAGCGGCCTCTGTCTTCCCTGTTTATCTTTAAAAATCCGGCTAACATACAGCGTGGTGATTCTAGGTGTGCCGATCAACTGCAGATTCAAGCGCAACTCCCCTTGACACTCGTTCCTATCCGAATTGACGTCGAAGTCCCCGCTCATCAACCCCTTGAGCCATTCCCCTTTCCCACGCACAGTCGTGGACCCTAGCATCAATCAGACTCTTCCTGCGTATCGCAGACCTGACCCATTACCCCCGTTCCGTATTAAGGATACCTTCTTATGGAACCTCCACGAATCACTCTCCACGCCCGAAGAATTTGCTATTGGATTCGTCCGCGATCTTGATCTCCCAAATCCTCAAGCCACGACCATGACCATCAGCAACCAGATCCGGCAACAGCTGGAGGAATACGCTGGCGTTGCTCTCCACCCCCTATTCCAGAGTACAGATGCAGGTACTTTGCCCAGTGCTCCGCCACAGACTGAACCGTCAAGAGACACGTCGACGACACCAGCTGCTGCCAACATTGCGACACCTGATAACCGGCCCAATGTGACGTCCACTGTGACAGTGACCAAGGAAGCGCTGGTAAATGACAGCCTTTTGAACCCCGATGACGCATATCGGTGCTTGATCACCCTCAACATCAACCTGCAAAACAAGCTTTACACAGACAAATTCGAGTGGTCTCTACTACACCCACCTGGAATGGCTGAAGAGTTTGCGCGTATCACTTGCGCAGATCTCAGCCTTGGTGGTGAATGGGTTAGTGCGATTGCACATGCCATCTACGAGGCAGTTTTGAAGTTCAAAAAGGAAGTCTGCGAAAGCGGTGCTCTTGTCAGCGGCCTCACCGGCTACGGCAACGAAATCGAGAATTTGGCAGCCAACGGCGTGGAGGCTGGCTGGCGTTATGACCCTGAAACCATTTGCGATGAGTGGCAACCTCAGGTCGAGACACTGTCCAAGGAAGAAATCGAGCGGAGAGAAGGTGACCGTGAGCGTCAGATCCGACGTCTGCGCCGAGAAACAGCTAGGTTCTCTTCTACCACGGGCATCACACCTGAGATCTCAAGGCAGAGCAGTGGCAATTACTTCGAGGTAGATAGTGAGACTCCGCTCGGACGTGGAGAAAGGAATAAGCGCAAGCGCCGATTCCGTAGCTTGAGTCCTACAGGCAGAAGTGGCACTCCTGGTGGCCGGGGAACTCCTGATACCGGATCAGGGGCTGGGTACGGTGGCGGCGGTGGAACGCTTTCCGAATGGTATGCGGCTGCTAGACATATCTACATCTCACTGGAATATTCTCACTAATGAATTCTGCCTACAGGGAACGCCAAAGCTGGAGATGCAAGAACTGTGCGGTGTGGGGCACAGCAGTTTGGGCTGTGCGCGATGGTCCAGATGGCCCACGGGTAAGTGGTCACTCTAGAATGTATTACCCAACTGTTTTTCTAACCATCATGTCTAGACACTCTGCCATAACTGTGGCCTGCTCTATGAGCGGGATAAGGTTGCACCGGAATGGTCCAAGGATCTTCATCGCCACGACGTTCCCGTCGGCCGATATGGATAAATTTTCGACGGGATCTTTCCTTGCATTAATGTACTATCTTAAGCTTCAATGACCTACTTCACGCCACCGATTTCCTATATCTCCGTGTCCTTCTCAACCATTTAATCCGCTGTTGTTGCACCTTTCTTTTACCGATCACGGCGCCACGGCGCATCGCCTTTCTGTTCTGTTGCAGGCATCTACTCTTGATTTCCATCTGCAAAATCTAGGGGCGTCATTATCATTGTGAATCGCCATAATTTTTTTTATTTTTTTACTTTTCACTCATCACTCAACGTCTTTCCTGCCTTCGATGTATGTTGTTCCTTTTTCCGAGGATTCATAGAAGACAGAGGGCTACTAGGAACTAGAGTAGACATTCAATGTGATTATACAATGATACACTTATGCCATTTGGAGCTACACAAGTCACTCAGAGAGGAACCCTGGGGGAAGAGTTGAAGAGGAAAGATTGGGGGATTGAGGGGGGTTTTATACTCCTAAGACGCACCTTCCCAGAATGAAAAACCCCGTACTTTCCTATTTGTCCTTTATCTCGTGACATGCAAAACAAATCATCTTGTGGGAATGCTCCTTCCTCGCCTCTCACTTCCAATTACCTGCATAGGTATTTGATATTCTGGAATGGCCGTTTGACGGTAACTTGGCGCCTTCCATGTCTACATACGCATGTAGGTATGGCCATATACGGCCTGGGTCCACTGGCAGCGTGTATCGTCAGATCAACCTTCAAGGAACTTCAGAATATGGTCAAAGCCCTCAGGTTCCTTAACCCAGTGGCCGTCACCCTCTGCGCCAGTGAACTCCTGCCAGTCGACGCGTACCATGAGCCTCTGCAAAACTTGACATGCCTGTCGTCCCAACTCCACAGATACCCATGGATCATCTGATCCATGACTTAGAAACACAGGCGTAGATAAAACAGAATTATGAACAGACTGATCGGAGTGCGATATCTCAGCAATTTCAGCAAAGTAGAACCCGGATATTAGACTCTGTGCCTGAGCGCTGCCAGGACTAAGGGATGGACCGGATAGCAACTGCTCTAGCTGCTGCGCGAATGGCAACCAACCACAAAAGCCTAGTAGACCACCTAGTGGGACTTGGATCCGGCCCGTCGCGGTTGCAGCCAAGAATGTCCACAAGGCAGTGGCCATCCCCTGGCTCATGCCTCCAAGATAGATGTGGGAAAATCGCCCATCTAAAAGTCGAGCTTCCCCCTCGAGAATATCGAGGATGTGTAAGACTGACTCTCTTATTCCGTCTTTCTGTAGTTCCTGTCGTTCGTGGATATTGTCTAGGGAGTAGGCGTCAAACCAGGCGCACATCTCCTCTTCGAATGTAGTGCTCCATCGGTCGCGTGAGGTTGGAAAGACCCAGCGGTAGGAGGGTAGACAGGAGGGCAGGTTTTTGCCTTTGGAGGTTGAAGATGAGAAAAGTTCTTCGGCGAACTCGGGGCCATCGCTGCCACGACCATGTAGGAGGATAACCGTGTGGGTATGGGGGGCTTGGGGATGGTGGATGTGGGGTTTAGGGAACTCCATGTTTTCTGTTCTTTTCTCTTTTGATACTCCGCCCAGGTGATCTGGGAGAGGTCAGATAATTTTGGGATTTTATTTCTCAAGGTTGGTTGGGCACCCTCGTAGTCAGAGGTCAGCGGTCACCTGGTCAGTTTAAACGGAGGTCTACTATCAAAGACATCTTAACGGAGGATTGGCAAGGGAAACGCCGGTTTATAATGATTCTACTATATCTTCATATTGCTCATTTCCTGGCTAAGATCCAGTGAAACGCGACACTCTGCGACACTCCATTTCCTTCTTCGCAATCCACGGCAACCTCATCAATCTCCATCTCAAAGCCAAGATCTGTGAGGAGTCTTCTCGTTTCATTTCTACCCCAGCCACTCCAATGCATTGCCCCTTCTGTGCCACCCAACCAAGATTTATCAGAGGCGCTCGCAAATCCAGTATCGGGGAAATTTGCGAGAAGCCGTTCCCCCAGGTTTCAGCCAATCGTAGATGCGACGGAGGATCGTAGTTTGTTCATTGCGTGGCAGATGAAAAATGGAATACATGGCCATCACAGCATCGAAGTGCCCCTGGGTGAATTCTAATTCCATCATATCCCCCGGCATCAGGTTCACGGATTCAGGAAGTCGCTCCTTCGCCATGGCGATCTGAGTGTCGGATATGTCATTGGCAGTGACGTTGATGTCCTCACGCGATGCCAACAGTTGAGTACACGGCACTCCGGCACCGCATCCTAGCTCAAGGATGCTAATTTCGCGGTTTTTCTTAGCAGAATCAAAGGATCGAAGCATAATATCGAGATAGAAAAGTCGTCTTTCATAAGAAGGTTGTGTCCAGTTCAGGTAGACTTCCGCAATCTCATCATAGGCTTTCTTTACGTCGTCCTTGATTTGATGGTTATCGATGGCCTCAGACATTATGACGGAGATGTTGTCGGTAGTGTGCTGAATGGTGAATCTTGTGAGAAAGAGAAACTATTAATTAGCAATGACTCATTTGGTAATTTAGACCTCGGGGAATATGACTAGTTGTTTTTATGGTAACCTGATGAGGGTTAGTGTAGTTTACGAGACCGGGGTAATTGGCATATTCTCTTCTGATTCGAGGCCAATTTTGCATAAAACCTTGGAATGTATTAAGTGCTATGGTAACTTTGACCTGTATTAACATGAATATCTCCAACAAGAACATCCCCTATTCTTTCGGGAAAGGCCATTTCCAGTTGCGAATATGTTCGGGATCAACCCCATTATCGAAAGCCTCGGACTTGGCCGCAAGCTGCTCGTTGTACAGCTTCTCTCTCACACCAGCTGCCGAGTTCCCAAGAGTTTGAATCAAATCAATGGCAGCCATAGCGAGACTGTATCGATCGGTATCATTGCGCATAGCCAGTTCAAACGGCGTGTCAATGTTGCCCTTCTCTTTGTACCCTCTCACGTGCAGGTTATGTTGACCAGGTCGCTTGTACGTGAGTCGGTGGATGAGCCAGGGGTAGGAGTGGAAGTTGAATATGATGGGCTTGTCGACGGTGAAAATGGACTTCCATCTCTTATCGGACATACCGTGAGGATGGTGAATGGCGGAAATCAGTCGGAACAGATCCACCACATTAACAAAACGGACTTTGAGCTGTGGGAGATATTCACGTAGTAGTGCGGTCGCCGCTAAAGCTTCGTGGGTTGAGACATCACCGCATGATGCCATCACGATATCTGGCTCTGCGCCTTGGTCGTTACTAGCCCAGTCCCAGATTCCGAGACCCTTGGTACAGTGCGCGACGGCTGCATCCATGTCCAGGAACTGGATGTGCTCTTGTTTATCGGCGACGATCACATTCACGTAGTTGACACTGCGGAGACAGTGGTCCATCACGGAGAGGAGAGTGTTGCCATCGGGCGGGAGATAGATGCGAACCACCTCGGGGCTCTTGTTAGCCACCACATCAAGGAATCCGGGGTCCTGGTGGGTGAAGCCATTGTGGTCTTGTCTCCAAACAGTGGCGGTGATCAGGATGTTAAGAGACGAGACTCGGGCTCTCCACTCCACTTCAAGGCACTTCTCGATCCACTTGCAATGCTGGTTGACCATGGAATCAATGACGTGGATGAAAGGCTCATAGCTGTTGAGCAGTCCGTGTCGCCCAGAAAGAATGTAGCCTTCCAGCCATCCTTCACAAGTATGTTCACTGAGGATCTCCATCACGCGGCCATTGGGAGACAGGTTTCCTCCATCTTTATCTTCTTCAAAGTAATCCCCCATCCAGACTTTCTTGCCTGCTTTGTACACCTCGGAAAGCTTGTTAGATTCAGTCTCATCGGGGCCAAAGAGCCGGAAGTTGTTCATGTTCTGAGCGACTACATCACGAAGGAATTTCGCCATGTTGGCCATGCCTCCCTTGATTGTCAGTCCAGGATCAATATCCTTGAACCCGTACTCTCTGAAATCGGGAATATGGAGCGGCCGGCGCAGGAGACCTCCATTGCCAACGGGGTTGGCACTTATCCTCGAGTTGCCCGTGGGCGCGAGTTCCTTCAGTTCCTGAATCAATGTACCATTCTCGTCGAAGAGCTCTTCTGGTTTGTAGGCCCTCATCCATGTCTCCAACACCTTAAGATGAGCGGGGTTGGTGCGGACATCAGTGATAGGAATTTGATGCGCGCGCCAAAATCCCTCGAGAAGATGGCCATCAACCTCCCGTGGAGCCGACCATCCCTTAGGTGTGCGCAGAACGATCATTGGCCAGCGAGGTCGGAACGGGGTCTTTGTCTCTCGAGCTTTCTTCTGGTGCTCCTTGATCTCTGTGACACATTGCTCGAGTGTAATCGCCATGGCCTGATGCATGCTATCAAAATCGCTTCCCTCCACAAAGTATGGTTTCCATCCATAGCCAGCGAGCAAAGAGGTAAGTTCATCGTGGCTGATCCGTGCAAGTACCGTCGGGTTGTTGATCTTGTATCCGTTGAGATGGAGAACGGGCAGGACTGCTCCGTCATTGACCGGGTTCAGGAACTTGGTGCTGTGCCAGCTGGTTGCAAGTGGGCCGGTCTCGGACTCGCCGTCTCCAACCATGGTCAAAGTAATGAGATTGGGGTTGTCAAAGACCGAGCCAAAGGCATGCGACAATGAATATCCCAGCTCGCCTCCCTCGTGGATGCTGCCAGGTGTCTCGGGGGTCGCGTGGCTTCCAATCCCACCAGGAAAAGAGAATTGTTTGAAGAACTTCGTCAAGCCCTCCGTATCCTCGCCTTTATCTGGGTAGACTTCCGAGTAGACACCCTCAAGGTAAGATTGTGAGATGATTCCGGGGGCGCCATGACCGGGGCCTGAAACGAAAAGAACATCGAGGTCGTACTTCTTGATGAGACGGTTCATGTGCATCCAGGTGAAAGATTGCCCGGCGTCGGAACCCCAATGACCCAAGAGTCGGGCTTTGAGATGCTCTAGCTTAAGAGGCTCTTTGAGGAGTGGGTTGTCGCGAAGATAAAGCATACCCAAACATAGGTACATGCTGGCACGAAACCAGGCATTCATTTTACGGATTGTCTCGGCATCGAGAGGTTTCCCTTCCACTGTTGAACGAGCCTCTCCATAGGCGGAGATACTCTTTTCACCTGCCTTTGATGCCATGATGTGTATCCCTGCTGGGATTGAGATGTTGCAGTATGCAGGAGAACCAATCCCTCGGCGTGGTCTGAGGATCCGACAAAGATAGAAAAGTTAGTACACTGGAGTTGTAGATGCTAAGAAATAATAAAGTTTACGATGAAGGAAGTAAATGCTTTCAAGTGACAGTAGAGATTTTTGGTTAATTATACTGACAGACTTATTGTCTGATAAGTCAATGACGTGTGATTTGTTTGCTATCTGCGAATGGATGCATTAAGCATGAATCATGACCTAGGTACTTATGTGCATGTGTAAATGATCATAGTTAATATAACATGATTGCCCATCAGATAGGCCAGCCCTGTCATGAAGTTACGTACTTATGCTGTAAGGAAGTGGAGCAAATGGAGTACAATGTAAGTGTCATTGAGTCCATGCCTGGACTATATATATATATGACCGGATAAACCCTTGGAACATTGTTCCTCCGGTCGGATAACACCCTATGCTTTAATTCCATTTTACCTCTTTAGTTTGACTTGGTGCATCTCATTTCAAATATCTCTCCTCCAAAGACGATAAAGAGGACATGAAGTGTTATGTTCAATAGGAATAGGTCTCCCATGGCATCTATTGCTACATACTCGAGTAATCAACCATGCTATCCATAGATGCTCATGATATCAGATCAACAGCCTGTATTTCGCAATTTTGGAGTGGCACATTGGATGTAGTATATATATATACGTCACATTTAACAGTCGAAAACAAACCAAAAATGCAAACACCGCAATACAGGAGTTCAAAGGGAAAGAAAGACGGTCGAGGCAAAAAAGCAACCTAACAGGGGGAGGCAAAAGTGAAGATATATAAGGAAAGGCAGAATGCATCTTTCGGCAAGTTAGATCAAACTATGTCCCGATGCGAAACTTGGGTCAAGATGAGGAAAGTCTGCAACCGGACGAAGCGCTGTAGTTCGGAAGGGCGCGGCCAATTGTGCCGGGGTCGCAGTAGGAAGGGTCCTCTCACCCTGTGGTGGTATCCCAGGGTTATAGTTAAACACCCAAAGACGCATGGATTGATCAGGACAAGTTCCAGTGTAAAACCTGTGTCGCAACCATGACCCACTCAAACGGTCAGCGCCGGCCCTCGTTGCATGACCACTTCGGATAGAAACCGGTATCGGCTCCCAGTTGGACATGAAGCGCTGTTCGTCCACACTCCACATGTTGACTTCTAATTCTCTATATAACGCGGGGACCCGCCTGTCATCTGAGGTATAGTGGAGACCAACACCCAGACATCGGGGCAAGGGGTGGTTTTTGTTATCCTGAAGAATGCTGATGTCGTCTTCAAATATGCTCATATGCGTAGACCCGGTGTCATCCATGAACGGGAATTCAAAGCTCGATAATCCTTTTCCTGCAGGTGGCTGAGCCTGCGGAATCCGAAGGCTAAGCCTCACCTGAAGAAGATTGTTAGAAATAGGGCAACAAAATTGGTCAATACGGCATTAGAGAGGGGAAATAGCTACCATTGTGGCATTGATACGCGGATCCGGTTGGCATACTACCGAAGTTTTGCTCAAGCCAGGCGCAGGCCCGAGAATCTGAATACTTGGTTTTAGTATGTTTATTGATGCAATCAAGGGGTTTTATGACAAGACTTACACCTTCGACCCAAAACCCTTCATGTCCCTGACATTTGTCATGAATGCTGCGGTATTCCTCCCAGTGGAAAGGCCTTGGCAGGCAGAGCTGAACTCCAGCATGCCAGTAGGTGACAAATTCCGGGTGCCAATCTAATTCACCTGATCGGTATCGTGCAATAATGGATTTTACCGTATCAACCATCTTGTACTTGTCGTTTTCCGCCATGAGCCAATCCAACGTAAATTTGAGATCATCTAGGCGTTGTACAACGGGCCAACTTAAACCTGGCTCCGTGGCTATCAGTGCACTGGATAGAGGGAAGCAAATTAGTCTCTCTATTTAGGAAAAATTTGGAGTTATAATCTCACTCGCGCTCCGCCTGCTTTGCCACCAATTCTGCCAGTTTATGCTGATAGACATGAGGCATGATATTCTCTTTGATCCGCTCAAGACACCTGAGATTCAAAGTCACTGCATAAGAAAGGTCAACTCCCTAGTCCAGAGATGAACAGCGGCGCCGGTATTAATTAGCCAGAGGAGGTAGAACTTACTCGGGCATCAGATCAGGCTCCTCTGGGTTCCAACCTTGAGGTGCATCCTCCCGCTCTCTGATAACGCCTTTTACTCTTGGCCATTTCTGTTTCTTGGGCATTTGTAGCCTAAGATTCCTACGATTCTTCCTTCGTTTCGAATAGTCAGTGAAGAGATCGGCTGCAAGACGTTCCTTGTCCAGCTTCTGTGGGATTTCCTTTTTTGTCTTCTTCTTCTTTGGAGGGGTTGCCTCTGCATCTTCACTCTGGCTATCTGCCTTGCGTTTTCCATCCGACTTCTTGGGTGCACCTTTACCTTCAGGTTTGCGGCGCGAGGGAAAAAAGGCTTCGGAGGCATCTTGCAACAGAGTAGATAGCCACGACCAAGGCGACACTTTCTCTAGGTAACTAGCAAATCAAATATTGAGCATGTACGAATGTAAATACGAAGGACAGAATTTCGAAGGTATTTGTGTTCTAAGATTTTTGTACACGCCGAACCCATCGCACCGGATGGAAGCCTCGATTATGCGATGTCAAAGAAAGCTTGAAGGCCGTAGACAAGATGGAACAAAGATGGCAGAGCATGCTCTTGGATGAAGGTCGAATCTCCTTTTCATGCTGTTCATTCAACATAGCTTTTGAAACGCCTCATTCGGCGAGTTCTTGCAAAGGCGTACTCTCAGTGGATCTGACTTCGAGGATTCCCCCAAATACACTTTTGACTTATTCCTTTGATCTTTGACACGGATTGTGCTTCTTTTTGGGGGCTCAGTCTGGGCAATCCTCCTCCGCTGTACCTGATGTAAAGAGGCTTTAATGCGGCTGGCTTTGTCAAACAAAGATTTGTGGATTCAACCTCAAAGGTTCAGAGACTTCACTTGGATCACGTTGAAGTCATGAAAGACACCAGCTAGCTCCATCTGCCTCAGATCCCTGTATCCATTGAAATGAGAGCCCAAAATGGATTGTGGCGCGGTATACATGTCCGAGGGCGAGAATGCGTGGAACTTGGAGAGCTGCGGGAAACAAAGAAGACCTGACGCTTGCCATGTCTATTTTTACACATCTCACTGTCTTTACCCATATCCGGCAAATATTATCTAGTCCTCATTATTATTTAGTCTTCATCGTGGAATTGGTAGATTCCTGGACCTCGGTCGTGCCTATAGCGGCCAGGTTTGCAGTAACAAATTCCCACATCAATAGATACGTGAGATATGTGAAAAAGAGTTATCCCGAGAATTTGAACGTATGTTACCGTCAACTACATTACCAATTATTCCAAAATTTGTCTATGAAAAAGCCACAGTGCCACATGATACTCCGTACACTCTCTATACATATAAGCAGCCACATACTAAAACCCACGCCTCAATCTCCGAAACCGGGACCGAAAACTACTTTGACTCGAGTTTTTCGAATCTTCCTAATATTCCAATGCAGTAAGCGAGCTTCTTTTTGCCAAATACTCGAATCTCTGGGGGCTACTCAACGCTGTTTCACAGGAACATCAAGATGAGCGAACCCAAGCCGACCGCGGTCCCGCTCCCAAAATCTGAGCAGTTCTACATGAATAACGAGCAGGGTGAAAGATACCTGATTCAAGTCTCTTGACCGCTGCATTGGCACAGTGTCAGCACTTCTGCTCGCGGCTCATTCCCCATCTTGTAAGTGCCCGCTAACGATTTTCCAGGATTGGAGAAGAAGAAAAAGCGCCCGTTTACATATATTGTCGATGGAAATGCTCTATTCTTGACTGCAACTGAGGCCGCCTGGCGTTGTGCTCCTGCGTCGCATTTTGCTGGTGGGGTATCACTGTTGCTATCGGATACCCATTGAACAGAGAGAGCTATATGATATGCGACGACGCACTCTTGATTTATCTTCGCTAACAGAAACTCCCATTTCTGGATATAGAGGTGCTGATATATTCCTTAACTTCATTCAAAGTTCAGTTTGACCCGCGGTTAAGGCCCGGTTTCCACAGGTCTCTGTCTCTAGAGAAGCACTCTACGACCATTCCTATGGGGGATTTCCCGCATTACTTGCGTTGTTTACACGACCCGGGTTATTTGATTGTTACATGGCCAGCAGTCCCTTGATCCGGTGAAATAAAAAATTCATTTTGCGGGAGACAAAAGACTTTCTGAAAAAGGAGCCTTTGGGCGAGAATTTGCCTTCGCTCATGGTCTTCTGGGGCTTAGTCGAGCAAAATCCTCATCAATGGGATAATGAACCTGGACTCTCTGGATTTGGCCTCAGTAAGCCCGGGGATTGAAAACCTGGTTTTTTATTGACGTTCTTTCCATTCTTTCCACATCTGCTCAAATATTGTGAGAGCGCTTGGTTGTCAATGGCTACACAGGGGTATTACCACCTGGGTACCATAGCAAGAGATTTTCCCAGAATAAGTTTGTCCAAGCTGCTATGCTGGTCTGGTCATAAAATAAATTCTATCAAGTATTGAAGGACCAGGCGCTTTATGGGATGGAAATCGGTGAACGGTGAAGGGGATAATTGTTGCATTCACTACTTAGGTACTAACTAATTACATAGGTACCTACTATACCTAGGTAATGTCTAATGAAATCAACTAGTCGTAAAATAGCCTTGGAAGCGTCGAGAATAATAGAGTTATATAAACATTATTATTAGATTAAATCACATCATTAGAAATGACCGAGAGTTCCTTCCAATACATAACGTATATCAAGTGTCAGGTTCGGCGGTGGATATTCTGTTGCATCCGTTGAAATTCGTGAGAATTCAATGGCTCGTCGTCCCTTGGAAGCACTCGTAGCGACGGCCTTCTCGCAACTTGCTGCCTTCGCCGAAGCCCAACCTCCCAATCTTAATAGCCTCGTCGCCTGGGTATGTTGCCACATCCCGAACAACACCAGACATCTCGTCCATCTCATCAACTTTATCACTCTTGCGTCCAATGAGCAAAGGAAAGATCTTATCACCAGCAAAGGCGCCAAATCGCAGCATCACAAAGGAATCCAATCTTTCGGTCCATCGATAGGAAAGACCTGCGTAGAGTGATAAAGCTAACAGCGGAAGCAAATAAAGTGCCATCAAGATGGAGACTACGATGATTCCCGCGGGAGAAATTGATGGAAGATCCATATCGGCGCCTAAATCATGGGCGATAGACCATTTGCCCCTCTGACTGGAAAGGAATTCCTGATTGGCAAGGAAAGCCGCTGATGTGAAGGCTTTCGGAATTGACTCCGCGTCTTTTTGGAACAGACTAATCCATTGCGCAATCTGTGACCCAACAGGGTACCAGTTGCCATCTAGGTCGATCCCAGCAGACGCGCACTCCAGAGGGGAAACCCCGAACAGATTGGTGAGTGCGGGGTTCGCAACGCAGGCAGATCTCAAGTTTGACGACACTTCGTCTGTAACTTTGTCGTCTGCTTCAAGGGCTGCGGCGGTTGCAATGAATGTGTCGATAAAAGAGCCAGGGCCGAAGCTTGCCAGGGCGGCCGATAACAACGGTCCTTTGTGGTCTGTTGAGATGGGGCCAAGCGATGCGGCTTTGAGAGTGCCTTCCACTGTGACCCCATCACGGCGGTAATAGCTCCCCGAATAGAATGTGTTGAATTGGTATAAACAGTGCTGGTCACAAAGTTCCACTGGGTCTTGGTCCAGTAAGGGACCGGGTACACCCTTGTTCATATAGTTGGGTAATTCAAAGAAGCCAGCCGTGGTGTTGACAGTGACCTGGAAAAGAGATTGAAGAGAATGTCCTGAGCGGTACTCTTCTTGTGTCATGTTGAGATAGAGAACCTCAGAGAAATCCTGCCGGCTACGTGCCATCTGCCAAGGAGATTTCGTCATATTTGCTGGCATGCATGCAGTGACACCCCAAGAATAACTTGAAGTAGAAGAAGTGCGCCGCGAGTACGAAGATGAATAGTCGGCATAAAATGCCCCTGGGCGTGAACTGCAGTCCACCGGGAAATCAGACGCTCCTATGGTCTCATACGTAGCTGTAGAGTTCACACGTGGAGAAAATTGACGAATCAATCCTGTATTGAAACCACTCGGGACCTGGGAGTAGTACGTCTGAGAAGACAGATCGTTGAGAGTCAAGAAATGAACTCCACTGTTGTTACTCCACAGGTTAGGTTGGTAGATATCGCCATTCGCTTTGTTCAGGGCATTGCGGACTTTCAACACGTCCTTGCCGGTATTGTACGATGTTGGATACGAAGAACCACGTGGGCTGAAGTCATAGATAGTGGCACTCTGTTGGGGCAAAGTCCGGACTTTGACAGACTGTGAACTGAGAAAGACCGACTGGATGGGAAATATGATGAGACCAAATACCCAGATGAAGATTGCGGTGGCCAGTAGCGTGCTACCGTATTGCCTCCATTTCCCGTACATCAGTGCTGGATACAAAGAAAAGTCCATCCACCTGCGGTCAGCCAACGTTGTGACTTGGCGTAGCCGAAGGCCCATAGGATCCTTTTGATTCTGCGCATAGATTACAGCGGCACTAGCACACACTGTGGAAATCCAGGGAAGAGTAACAACTTGAATAAAGGTCTGAATAGTCCGCATAGAGCGATAGATCTTTCTCTCTTGATCGAAATCTGCTTCATAGTAATAATTGGAGCGTGAGGTTTCAAACGAGTACGCCCAGGTCTTGTCTTTTAAGGGGCGGATTGACAGTATAGTAGTCATGGCCCAGACATAGAGGACGAGTCCCACGTAAATGATCGTGAATACAGATACCCAGGCCGATCGATGAAGCAAAGTACTGTGCCCTCGTCCTAGAATTTGTCCTGTTGACCGCGCCTGGCTATATGATGGAAGCTCCTCATCATGTAGCGGGGAAGACCCGGACGAGGAATCGTGTCTAGTGTATTCAGGTGCGTCTCGGAGATTGTCTGAGCTTCTCGGAAGTTGCCGTAGATGGACCGCACCGTCTGCTGTCTCCATCTTGAGATTGTTTTGCCGCACGCGGAGATTCGTGGAAGAAAAGGAAAAATCAAAAGAAAAGAGATGTGGAATATTTCATCGCAAACGCTTTTGCTTTTTATTCCCCCGACAGGGCTGACCATGGCCCCTTAAACGAGCGCCCTGAGCGCCCCATGCGATTCCATTCTTAGCTCAGTTTCAACTTGGCAACTGCCAGTGTGGCGGATAGAGAGCGCGTTATTGGCCAGTGTCAGCTTCCCCAACCATTTCGCAATTCTGAAGAGTGTCTTGCCTTCTGTACTTATGGGGGTGTTCAGCCATTATAGGTTGGAGCCTAAAGGAAATGACCAAAGTGAAAGCCAAGGTGTGCCCAGAAGAGGAAGTAGGCGATATCGGGGAGGAGCGCCGAACCTCCTGTTAGGGGTGTCCATGTGTCCATGTGTACATATGTAGGATATATGTATTTGGCTTATTCCATCTACCTTATCAATTTAGGAATTATCGAAATCATCTTTACACTAAGTCAATCATTCAATCTTACATTGCAACCTGGTTCGGGTAGCTCGAAGATTTAGACTTAAGTTTACGCTCAACCTTACTTTAATCTTAACCCTCTGTCAATATTAACTGCTGGAATTGTTTCCTCATAAGTTCTCATGAAGAACATTCGTGCACATTCTAGACTTAGCAATTTAACAGTTCCTTGAATATAATGTATCATTTTGTCAGACTGGATGCCGGAAACCAGCACTTTGCTGTAAGGTAAAAGCTACAAATCTTTCTCCTTGACATCCTCCTCCCACCCCTGAGCTGTCATCTCGTACACTAAGAGTCGAAGGCAGCCTGCTACTTGGGTACACACACGCATTGTTTCTCGGCTCGTACCCGAAACCGCCTAGATCGGGATTTGGCCAAGGCAAGAATGATCTTCTTCTATTTCCAGAACATATGCGGACATCTGACACTGCATCTAGCATCACACCTCTATATTTCTGCGGCCTCGGTGCCCTCCACTTCCAGGCCTATCCTTTAACCTAGCAGGGGTCCCTCTGCAGTCCCGCCTGTCTCGGATTTACCAGAACTATACCAACAATGGTCTGGAACTCCGAAGTGAAGCAATCTATGTCATCAAGTCGTTCCAAGTATCGGCAGCCTCCTGTCCACTCAGAGAGGCAACAGCGCTCTCAGCCGCATAGCACTGGTCAATCGTAGCCTGAGGAGCATTGCACGGGCTACGCAAACGGTTGCATATCAGGTCAGCCGGTGAATCGATAGTAGGCGACGAGCCGAAGGGGAAGTCATCCTGGTTATCGGTGGTATACGAGTACTCGGTGCGGCCATCAAGACCATACAACCAATTGATCGTCGGGTCCGAACAGCTTCCATAGTCAAGACCGTCGGAGGTGCCGGTGTTGGAGCAGTCGTCCGCAGTCACTGTGGTAGTGACCTGGAGTGTCTGGGTGTCTGTCGAAGTCACGGTGGAGGTCACGACCTGATTATTGGTAACAGTGCTTGTGTCGGTATGAGTGATGGTATTGGTGACTGTCTCATACTCGGTCACGCCGGGCTCGGTGACGGTCGAGGTGCCGACAAATTCGGTCGTAGTTGAGACTGGGCCGGGCGTTGTGACAGTGGTCGTCACCGTGGGACCGTCCTCCGTCAAAGTGGTGATGTCGGTGGTCGTGGCGGTGCACGAACTAATCGTGGAGATCACAGTTTCCGTCTCGGTGGTGGTTGATGCGGAACGGCCGTCGTCTCCGGTAGTTACAGTTGCTGTGCAGGCACTGATCGTTTCGGTGACAGTGGCTGAACCGTTGCCATCGCCGTCAATAGTAACAGTCACGGTGGCAGTCGGGGTAGCCGGACTAAAGAGCTTATCGTTAGCTAATTGGCTTCTCGCATCAAGCCTAGTGGTCAACTAACCAATCAGTCACAGTGACAGTCGATCCGACATTGTTGCCGTTGGCATTGTGGCCACAGTGGCTGTTATCAAACCCTCCTGGACCTATGCCCGCGCTGTCTCCATGGGGAGAACCCCAGAACCCATCCTGACTCCACTCGCCGGGATTACCAGAGCCACCGGGGGCAGGAGCTGTAAGGGTAGGGAGCACCTGCAGCAGGACGGCCGAAAGAGCGGCGAGTCTTGCGTAATACATCGTCGAATTAAATATCATAAAATTAGATTGATTATAACAGTTCAGGTAAAAAAATAAAATATAATGATGAAAAACAACTGGGACTACGTCGAGCCCCTATAGAAACCGACGATTGAAAGAGTGTGATGTCGATGGTTTGGGAATTAATGGCGAACATGCGCAGTTATATACATTAGCAAGTAGGCTAAGTTACATCGCTGGCAGGAGCCATTAGCCAATCCGGCACTTTGAAAACAAAAACACTCAAGAGGTATGTTCATCGGCTGACTGAATCCTCGAGTTTCAAGAATGTCAATTCCTATAGCTCGAACTGGGAACATGCAGCTGGGTACTTTTATCCGGGTGAAGTATCCATGGACTTTGCGGCCAATGGACACAGGACTTGTACCTAGAATGCCGAGGTGAGGGTATTGTCAAGTTGTTCTCAAGCTTTGATAACCCAGTTGTCTGTCTGTTGGACTTGATATAATTTTGTTTTGGCGTACCCACTGCCTTCCTCATACTCTTAGATTGAGAAAACTATCTTCTCCCATGGATATTACATGAGCCGTCTATCATGTAGACCTACACCTGAGTACGTATATGAACACATAGTTCTAGTCAGATCCAGGGTATTTCTTGATGTTACCTGACTCGTGAGCAGGAAGATCAAAGAATCTCGCGTAAGCATGGCATGGATCCACCCCAAAAGAGCCCCAATGGCGTCATTAAGGTTAGGAATGCGATGTATCATTGCTAGAACCTCGGCTCCCTATCTTTCCCTTTGTATTGTGATATATCTTGTGTCAATATGCTTATGCTTATATCACCTATGTCCAGTACGGTTTAGACCATGAGATGGAAACGACCCCCGAGTTGATGCTCTGTAATTGAATATGATAGCTATGGGGTTTGGAAGGGTGGTGGTTCATGGGTGAGGCGGCTGGGCCACATTCCAGAACTCCCAAGTTGCTCATTCTTCGGAGAGAGATCTATGGGTCTGTCAATGTAGATATGACCTATGTACTCCGTAGTAGTTTTTGAATAGTGTCTAAGGTCAGTGAGGTCTTCCTGTATGGATGTTGCTTACCCCCCGCTTCTTCACTAAATTCAGAAAAAGAAGTGCGTTGAGCCATGCAAAATGTCATGCCCATGGTTTTCTCTACAATTCAGCAGTAGCATGTTTTTATCATTCAAGAGGTAGATTTGGATATCCTATTCTGTAAATTTCGTACACACAGCACAGTTCTTGGGTATAGAAGCTTTAGCTTCATTGTGAGGGAACTAGCAGGAAAGCAGTCACCAGGGTCAACGCGACCGAAGAACTCCATATGGCGCCGAGCTTCTTCGACAAATTTGCCAATGAATTTGATGCAATTCTTCCTGCTTCTCAGAATCCTCAGTTATATAGTGAAAGAAGTTGTTCATAAGATGGAAATAGAACGTTCAAAGGAAGAAGAAAAGAATTGATTGACAGGGTCAGTTCTGAAGGGGCATTTGTTCCCAGAACTGCATAGTAAAGTAATAGTCTCTCCTTTCTTCTTTTCTAAGTCCGATATATACAAAATCATATCAACCTCTCCTGCTTCCCCTCTTCTCTAAGAATTCACCGCGCTTTCTCAGGATTAGGCATTCTGAAGTGTGTTTCCAGCATTGGTTGGGACGCTTGCCTGGGCCGCCGAAGCTGCACTTGCAGTTGCAATGTTGAGGCCGGCGAAATTAGAGAAGAACTTAGTATCGGCGTTCGTAAACTGATCCCCATTGTTTGTTTGGATATTAGTCACGCAATCCCTCTTAAGGTAGTCGGCGCATGCTTTGTTGGCAGTAGCACTCGGCGAGCTAAAGAGTTGACCGACGAAATCTCCGACGATTTGGGTGACATTGTTGAAGACACAACCTTCGAAGAGACCTTGGCCGTCGTCGGTGCCCTCAATGGCGTGGCCGCTGTTGTTTTCCCACACACTGTTGACGGCATGGAAGAGCGTCTTACCGCTCAGTGCAGGGCTGCGGCCGGATGTGCGGTACACGTAGTTGTCTAACGGACGATTAGTATCTTCGAGTTGCGTACATATTTATATCAAGAAAGCATGATTTGAAGCACTTACTTGCAAATGTGATCTGGTCGTCGGCTCCGACAAGCTCCAATCCCCAGTAGTTTTGTCCGTCGCACGAAGTAGAGAAGTTAGTTGCGCCATTCATGAAGCTGTTGGAGATAGTGACATGAGCGTTGGCTTCTTGGCCAAAGACATAGTGTACACGGCCAGTGTATTGAGTCTAGTTAGAATCCAGTTAGAATTCAGTAAAGGAGTTGTCATGGAGAGTTTGACTAACCGTAACATGGTCAATCCAGACCTTCGAAGTGCCAGAGAGCGTGATAGCATCGCCACCCCAGACAAGTTGTGGGTTGAGGTTGGTGATCATGATGTTCTGTACAATGATGTTGGAGGCACGGACTATTCTCAGCCCTTTGCCGAGGAGTACGCCCTTGTTTCCGACTCCGATGATCGTCTTGTCTGAGTGAACGCTGATTCCTGTGGTTCCAGCAGTATCCCACTCGTACTGCTCGGACGGTTTACCGTCGCATCCTTTTCCGAATGCATCTATCGTGGACTGGCAACCATCCTCAAAGGAACCATATGCCTTGCAGATGGTTCCCTTGGTTGTCCCTTCCGTTCCGATGAAATCGAATGTCTTGTCGATAATGATGACCTGAGGATCCTCAGAACCCAGAAGTTCGATTAGATGTTTGACATCGGTTGGATAAACTGGCGTCGCATCACCACCTCCCGTAACTCCGTATGCAAATCCTGGAGGCGAGCCCGTAACTGAAACCGCATCGGCTCTCTTGGCTGGGCTGCTTGCAACTGCCACAGCGGCGAATAGTAAACCAAAGCTGAACTTCATATTGGATTCAGAAGCCTGCAGTTGCGGCAATGACTATGAAGATGGCTGGCGAAAATGGTTCTGCTAGATAGGGAAAATAATTCAAATTTACTAGGGTCATTGGGACTTCTTATGCCTCTTGCCAAGCTGTGGCCTTTTGTCGAGACATTATCGAAGTTGTCTCACATGTGTTGATGGGAAATGTCTATGTGAAACCGATCCTTCAATTGTTTTTATGTGGGGCTGTCAATGGACTTCCATACAGCTACGGAGTAAAGTCTTCTTCCGTAGTAATTGAATCCCACGTCCAGTAAGGAGTAAGTACATATCTACTCCGTATTCATAATTAATAATTTATTCAATAATAATATAGCAGGATGCTTTGTCCTAAATTTAGCCTATTCTGGTGTTCTAAGGGCACGAACGTCTCCAGTGTTCCTCATCTGCATATATTAAATGCTGGCCCCACAGGGGAAATTTCGGAAATTTAGGAAGCTTCATCCACGGAATACTCCGTTTTCCGCACGGAGTAGTGGTCATTATAGGAGTGATCTGCAGGGGTAAAAGACGATATATATCTGCTCACGCCCGTCTACTGTAGCGGATAAAATATTTAAGTGGAGCAAAGGTGGAAAGAGAGTGATCAATATCGGCTACAACATATGGATGAACTACGGAGTAGCATAGGAGACATATATATGTAATTTGGGAACTATCTCCCGAGGTCTAGGTCTGGGACTCTTCTCCGTACTTCATCAGCAGAGCGACGGAGTACTCCATATTGAGCCACGTGGGCTACGGTCTTAAACCCCTTCAGACCAACTCTAAAAGGCATACGGAGTACGGAGTACAGGTATCTACGCCTGTCAACTGGCTAGGGTACAATCCTTTGTCTCGGATTAGGCTGGTAGGCACATCGTCTCTTACCCCCTACGAACCATTCTTGCAGGGACCTTCAAATGCGTATGTTGTACTCCGTAGTACAGAGTGCCAACACAATACTTCGGAAAGAAGAAACCACTGCCGATTTTACATTTTCCGGAAATTTTCCTAGTTTGTGTACTCCGTATTCCGTGCGGAGTACTCCGTATATACTAGATACTTGACTGAATTAAAAGTATGAAGATCAAGATGTCAGTTCGTCTACTTGAAACACCAGGATACGCGGATTTTAGGACATAGCGCATGCTATCAGATCATAACGTAAGAGATCTGCAGCGCTCCGTGATTAGTTCCTGATGATGACAGTACTTCCTTCCATGGATCACTGAAAGCTCAATGGCATACCAGGATTAGGAGGTTAGTCGTGATGGTGATGTTCGTTTGTCATAGGTAATGATTAAAGGAGTTGTAATACACGCATGGTCTTGTGCTTTGATTCCATTATGCTAGATACTTAATCTGTTCGAGTTTAAAGTAAAATGATGGAACAAGCATTCGATTGAAATCCAGGCACCACTTCGTATCACCATGTCTCATATGAGTTTTTGATACAGCTGGACAGGCTGACCTTATATAATTCATTCAATAACCCCTAGGTTACATATTGAAGCCGAGCTTCAACTGGGCCACCAAGCTATTCAATTGAGACCTTATGTAGTATGTAGGTCAAATCACGACATGGATAAACGAAATGAATCTACTTTGCAGCTTAATTGTCAAGCAATTCAAGGTTGCCACTTGCTAAGTTTTCCCATAGCAAGGTGGATTTCCACTCTGAACGCTAAATGGTAATAATAGCGATATTGTAATCATGCCAATAAGTCAATGCGATCCAGCATATCACATGCATCTATACGGATATGTTGTCCATATTCCGTATTCAGCTTCGAATTGCTCTTGTTATTGGGAGATCTCGCTGGGGAGAGCTTCAGTGATACACTGGGGTTTCTACACCGCTAGCCTCTGAGACTTCGAAAAACCAGAGAATCTGATCGACCTAAGTAGAGAGCTAATCCACGCAACGTTTACACCCATGGACAGAAAGTCCACTTATGTGATTGTTATAGAAGATGGATCAAGTGCCATACATAGTCAGAGCTATTGGCAGTTATTATAAGAATGAAATTCATACTTGTAGGTGTTCAAATTGTCACAAATATCCGAGATTCCTATGCGTAGCCTTCGTGGTCGAGGAGGATTTGGATTCTCCAACCGGAACAACCTTATTTCTACTCCCGTAGGCCTTTGGAGAGTAATAGGACGAGCGAGGAGTATCGAAGTGCACAGTCGACCTACGATATAATTTAAGAGTCAAAGATGCTTGAGAACCAGGAGCTAAAGAAACTACTAGTTACATATCTGGCTGATTCAGTACATGAACACAAGCGCTGGCCCCAGGTGCCAAGTTTCTCTGGTTCAAAGCTACATTCGTCGCTTTCATATTGTAAAGTAAGAAGCATTAATCATGATAAATGAAAAGATACAGAATAGCCATCTAATGTACAGAGGATTCATAAGACTAGGGTATCAACCCACAGCCCACAGCAAGCAAACTGAAAGGAAAAAGTGATGACAATCTAAGAGAATCGGAAGCAAAAAGTAATCACATTCTGAGAGGATTGAAAGCAAAAATAGCGGGACATTCAGCTTCTCACAGAACAACTCATAGGCCCTCTCTAAAATGGACGAGAACGCTGAGCCGAAGGGGCACCCACAGGCTCCTGCATTAACCAAGCTAGTCAGTGTTTAAACTTCTTGAAGATCTTTTTGCGGAGTAGAGTACGAACCGAGCTGGCGCGCCGCTTGTGACCGTTGCTTTCTCTAACTCCGACGTCGGCAGTCTCATTCTGAGACTTGTTGATCTCTCGTCCAACACAAATGCTGTTATTTCGGCCATTTACCCGAATGCCCGCGAGAGCGCGGATATTGACAGGCCGGGGGTAACCCATATCATCGTGGAGAGCATTTGCGCGGTTCAGCGCAGCGATGATGACAGCAGCGATGGAACTCAGGCGAGGGGCCTCCTGGTGAGTTGGATCAGTGGGAGAATCCATTCCAGGAGACGACACCATGATGGTGTTTTCATCACCAGTCACGGTGATTGAGTTGTCGATGTAAATATTGATTGGGGAAGCCCATGGGTCGTCCATATCGTCCTGGTCGACGCTCATGATAGTGGTGCCGCTGGGTCTGGTAACAGACAATGTGTATGGGGGTGGAGCTGTGCCTGGAGTGGAAGTAGAAGTAGGTGTAGAGGTAGATATAGAAGAAGTATTGCGACTTGCCCGGACTTCGGCAAGCTTATGCAGGTGGTGTCGCAAAGAGTCTGATGGAGGCATCATTGTGAATGAGAATATGTTATTTTTTTTTAATAGCGTTTGTAGTGATATGACGGAGTGAAGAAGAGAAGTGCAACGGGTTGTCGGGGTATTTAAGGTCCAGTGTTTGTTCATTTCGTTTGAATGGGCGCAAACAATAGGAAAGAAACAATCAATAGACAATCAATAGACAGCCAATCAGAGACCGTTATGGGCCATTGACTTGCCTAATTGGGATCCTTGAATGGACTTCTATTGTTCTCAATAGAGATCACGTGATTGCTATTGTTCATGGGGTATCAATAGAAAAGAAGGAAACTATGTACCAGGTACCAGGTACCTAAGCCATAGTAGGTACGGCCGTAATTGACAAGGTACCTCAACATTCAGTGCCACAGTTTCGCTAGTGTAGAAAATGCGCCTCCAATTCTCTTCCCAAAAAGCAAATCGGAACGCTGCGCCGGTCCACAAGCCCCTGACCGTGGAGCAGTCCTTCATAGAGTGCGTTTGTGTCACCATACGCAAATGAACTGGATCCCAGATGATCGGATGTTCCTTCTTCGGTCGGTCGGAAATCTCTGCTGATGCCTACACCATCTGGGAAGTGGGCATGTCTGGTCAGGCTATTGGCTGGTCTTTCATGGGCGCAGGGCATCAGACCCTACCGGTAGGGTTGCTTGGCTCCTTACTGCTAGACAGGATATCGGAACCAGGGAGGTCTGGGTGGGGTTGGCCCGGGTAGTATCGCCCACCTGGGTGAAGAGATTGCGCCGTCTGCAAATAGTTATTAGCGAGGACAACAGCCCTTGTAGATTGCCCGAGTTATACCGGTGTTTCTGTCGCGTCCGACATCCAAACCGTTACGGGTTGGTACTGACTTCGCGGAAATCATCTCCTTCAACTTCCACCTCGCGATCCCGAATCCGGCGCATCAAAGCCAGGAAATTGCTTTGTTGGAACTTTTCGCTCTGTTCATTGCGCACGCTGTCGAGCAGTTGCCCTGCTGTCCGTGCAAGTTCATCTGCATCTCGACTCTGTGTTTCTGGGTTCTGCTTATCACTCTGGGGAATAAGATCCGATCCGAGACGAATCTGCTCTTGGGTGGCCGGCTCGGAAATGTCGACTTTGTTGGTCTCCTGCAAGTGCTCCTGGTTATCTTGCTGAGCAACATCGACTCCTTGCAACTCCATATCTGCCCGGGCCTGATCAAAGGCAGCCTCAAAAGCGGATTCGTCAAACTGCTGCGTGTGTTGTTGTTGCTCGGTCTGCATACCCTGCAAGGGCTGCATCTGATTCATGGAGGAGCCATACATCTGGTAGCTTGGCGTAAAAGATGGTTGATAGGCACCATGCATTTGCGGGGTTTGCTGGGCTTGGGGCATAGGCCCTTGTTGTTGAGCCATGAATTCAGCGTGCCAACCCCCATGCGCCGCTGCTGGTGCGACATTTGGTCTTTGTAGTTGCGATACAGGGTGTGAGGGCCCCGAGATCTGTAAGTTCTGGAAGTCCGATGCCCAACTTGCGTTGCCTGCACCGTGTGCAGCTGGGTGGTGTACCGCGGCATGTTGTGATGGTGCTCCAAAATGGGCGGGATGTTGCAAGTTGGGCAACGCAGGGCCGGCAAGATTGCCTTCGAATGCGGCGAACTCCGGGTCGAGTAGTCCTTCTTGAGGGTTCTGAGAGCGGAAACCCTACAGTATACATTTAGCATGAATGGAATGACGTAAATTCAGAAGCGCTACCAACCTGGACAGGCGATTGACGTGAAGTCAACCGGTCTTGCTGAAGGGTCCGATCAACAGATGTATGCTTCTGGAAGTTCTGGAGGGCATTCGACGGCCCGCACAGCGCATCACCCATAATGACCTGCTTAGATCGACCAAAACCGAGCGAGAAGTGTAGTGGTGCAATTTTTCGTCTTGTAATCAGCTGCTAGCACAAATTACAGCAATAATAGAAATGAAAGATGTAGAACTTCAGAAGAGACTCTGGCCACGCCACGCCTGCCGTGGGGTTGCCGACGGCCGAGGCTCATCACGTGCATAGATCCAGGTAACGTGACTGAGCTAAACACACGATAAGATACGGGAAGGGCCAGGTTGTTTGGCTGAAAGGGAGAGAGCTACTCCGACTCCCCGCGCTTCCACAGCTGTCAATTTTATTGTTTGCTTTATTTAATCCAACATGGTAATTGTTATTCGGCTACATGGATTTGAGCTTGTTTCACAATCCCATCGCTAACAGCTTCAAACCTTCAGGCGACCCCTCAGGTGATCTCGAATTCCGGGCACGAAGAGATGATTGTATGTGCTACTATACGAACCTGCAATGGTGGTCTATGTGGTTAGACAATGTACGCGAGCTAACTGAGTTACGTTGAATATAGCACGATGCTGGCTTGGACTATTACGGCCGCCGGTTGGCCACATGTTCATCCGACAAAACGATAAAGATCTTTGAGATTGAGGGAGAATCACACCGACTAGTCGAGACGCTGAAGGGGTAAGCTGGTCTTGTTTGTGTGTGCAGCTGGATATTTGGTCACTGACATAGTTATTTGATAGCCACGAGGGCGCTGTGTGGTGTGTCGCATGGGTGAGTGATACCCCAAAACATCAGCCATGGTAGCGCGCAATCTGACTGACCATGCGATTCTCTCGACCTAGGCGCACCCGAAATTTGGGACAATTCTAGCCTCATCTTCCTACGACGGCAAGGTTCTGATCTGGCGGGAACAACCCCAGAATGCGACCTCGCCCTCCGGTGGTAGCACATGGACCAAGGTCTTCGATTTCTCCCTTCACACGGCCTCCGTGAACATGGTCTCCTGGGCTCCCCATGAGAGCGGATGTCTTCTTGCCTGCGCTTCTTCCGACGGCCACGTTAGCGTGCTCGAGTTCCGTGACAACAACTGGACCCACCAGACCTTCCATGCCCACGGAATGGGCGTCAACTCTATCAGCTGGGCCCCCGCGGCCTTTGCTGGTAGCCTCATCAGCTCTAACCCTGGACCCGGCCAACAGCGCCGGTTTGTTACCGGTGGCAGCGACAACCTGGTCAAGATCTGGGATTATAAGTATGTCCACTGATAAAACATGCCAAACATACAGCTATGACGTGAACTGACTCAATGCCCTTTAGCGCGGAGTCCAAATCTTACAACCTCACTCAGACCCTCGAGGGACACTCCGACTGGGTCCGTGATGTGGCCTGGTCTCCGAGCATCCTCTCCAAGTCCTACATCGCCTCCGCCGCGCAAGACAAGACCGTTCGCATCTGGACCTCTGATGCTTCCAACCCGGGCCAGTGGTCCAGCCAAACACTGGAATTTGACACTGTTCTGTGGCGCGTTAGCTGGAGTCTCAGCGGCAACATCCTTGCCGTCAGCGGAGGTGATAACAAGGTCAGTTTGTGGAAGGAGAACCTCAAGGGTGAGTGGGAGAAGGTCAAGGATATCGAAGAGTAGTGGTTGCTTCAATTTCGATGTGTCATTTATTCCCTTCCTCAACGCATAATATTCCTTCTAACCAAAAGCTACATTGCTTGTTACCATAAATACTGCTCCACTAGGCTGGGAATCCTACGTCAATTTCCAGTGCTTTGGGCGAGCTTGATCTATTTCGTTCCCTATTTCGTCCACCGGCCAGCTCCCAGAAAAATAAAGTCAAAACTGAAGCAAATAAAGACAGAAAAGAAAAGCAAACGAAAAGCGTAGAAGACATTGGACGTGGCCGTCACACGTCCCAAAAGATGAATGGCCCTCTGGCATCTGGCTCCTTCATATCCACCCACCGTCCCAGCATCATGCGCCCGCCTGGTACTATGACAGCCTCGTAGCCATGAATCCAGCCCTCGCCATCCATCACGGCAGAGGAAGGCGGTTCCTCTTCATCATCATCCTCATCCGCTTCGACGATGGTAAAACAGACCCGCGTCCATCCCTCAAATCCACCATGGGGGACAGCAATCTCTTCGGTGAACCCGAACACAGGGTTTCCTGCCTCATGGGGGGCATCATAGGATCTCTGTTTGCCGTCAAAATATACCCGCTCAGTATCGACCCCACCAGCGGGAGGGATGATCTTGCTGCATTGCGCGGGCCAGAACTGTTCGGAGGAGGGTTGGAGGTCAAGAGTCTCACAATTTGTTAGCATGGTGGTATAGCCTTCCAAACCACTCGCCTTCTACTTACCATTATGTCGATTCCGTCACCGTGTGTCTCAAGATCAGCGCATGTCTGGCGCTGGTTGGCCTTTTCCAGGTCTGATAGCGGATGTATACACGCTGATCGAACACTAATGTCAGCTTGGGGTCATGGTTAGATTTCGTTCTATTGGTGGACTCACAGTAGTATCCAAGCCACGATGGGCTTAGTCGGGATGCCTCGGCTGGAATATCCTTTCGCACCTTAGGTTTCATATCCGCAGGCAGCCCAGAAAAGGATTCTTGGAAGGTAAGCTCGGCAGCATTCAGCAAGTGACGTTGCCAGAAATTGCGCAAGTTCAGCAGCTTAGCGAGATCAAGGTTATCGTGGTCGATGAATGCCTCGCCCACCTCGTCTGCATATGAGTAGACTTGTTTGATGTCGTAGTCGGTTCGACGACAGGGTTCGGTGATGGTTGGATCGAGAGCAAATGAACTTAGGCACTGTGTATAGGAAAGATCAGTGAATATGTCTCCAGTTCATCGTTCGACGAAACGCGCGTACAAGCTGGAGAGCATAAAAAAGCGGCGAGGAAGTTCGTCCCTTTCTAAACTCGCTCAGGAAATCTACCCCTTTGAGGGTCTCATGTATACGTTGCAGGGTCTTTGAGGTCGCTCCAGAACCGACGGGTAGCTTCAGACACTCCTCGAGCATAGTCTGCATGACTTCCATCCAGAGGTATTGACGGGCGTCTTCCTCCTCTTTAAATTGGATCGGAGGGCTCAATACAATGGCGCGGATCTGGTATTCAATCTTCAACTCCCTAGAGCGTCTTCCCGGAGCAATGTCGTAGTGTTTACCAAAGCGATCTCTCCAGATGGCCGACTCCGAATTGAAGACCTTTTCCCACATCTCTTTGCAAGACTGGGAGAGATGGAGAACATCACGATCATTAGGGAGACAGCATGCAATATCCTGGAGAATCTGTTGATCTCAAATATCAATGGCTGCAATGTAGATGTACAGATATATACTTGCCTCAGTTGGAAGCTCAAGCAGCCAGCTTCGAGTTCCTTGCATGGCAGTTGGAGCGAACTGTAGGGCGTTGTTGTGCGACATATCTGTGCTTGTGGTATAGTATTCAGTATGCAATTGCATAGTCTGAAGAGCGTTCGTTCTAAAGCGTGGGACTCACTGCATGTGCTACGGAAGATTTGAGGCAGCAAATGTAAGTGCGAAGAGCGAATAAAACGCGATAAATGTTCGATGTGCGCATTCACATGTCCTTAAAGTGAATGATTACTCAATGCGCTATACAATCATCAGTTTCAATTAATAGGGCTATTGTTCGTTTGCTTGGCCAAATTGGAACATATGTTACTTTGAGATTGACCTTACATGTAACAAAAGAACAAACGCAGACATAAAGAGATTAAGAACTGTTTGAATGTACCTCTTCATAAGACCAAATGGAGGACATGCCCCCAATGTTGATACATGTAGGTTCTCTTTCACATGCTATATATGTCATGAGAGATGACGTCGCTGTAGGCTTTCAGTCACTCCCCAACCATCTGCCAGCAGACCCTTAACCTCCTCGAGGCTAAGCCCACTCATCTCAGGGTAAATTGCCCATACAGCAACCCACCCAACCACACAGACAAATGCATAGAGAGCAAAAGTCCATGAGGGTGAGATCCATTCCATCATAGGTAGGAAAGTAAGACCGATGATAAAGTTTGATCCCCAGTTGGTTGCAGTGGCCAGTCCTGACCCCAGGGAACGCACATTCAGAGGGAAAAGTTCAGACTGCTGCCAGGGGACATTGCCGAGTCCAAGGGCATATGCAGCAGTATAGACAGTAAGACAGGACAGAATTGCAAGGGGCACAAGAGGACTAATGCTATCGTGGTTGTCTTGGTGGCCAGTTGGAGGTTGTGAGTTCCATTTGTCGTCCACTGCCGAAAACGAGAAAGCACAGACGACCAGAGCAACGACCATGACAGGGATTGAATACAGGAGAATGCGCCGGCGACCGATCTTGTCAATCAGAACAAATGCAAGCAGTGTGAAGACAAAGTTCGTCATAGCCACCGAAAGGGATGTCAGTGTCGGCGAGGAGAACGAAAGGGAGGAGAAGATGGTTGCAGAAAAATACATCAGGCTGTTGAAGCCGCAGAGCTGCTGGACCGCCTGGAGCATCATTGCTATGATCAATGCTCTTCTATTTCCACCGTGCAACAACTGCTGACCCCGTTGGATGGTATCATGTAACCACTGCGGCTTTGTGCCACGAGACTTGGTTGGACCCATTTCCGAAGCCTCTTGGAGTCCCATCTCTGATGCCTCTAGGGCAATTTCCCCACTTATATTGCGTAAAACACGATCCACTACCTGGTCATGTCCAGGGCAATCCTGATAGATCTTAATCAGCACTGTCTTCGCCTGGGCATCGAATCCAGCCTGGACCAGCCATCGAGGCGTCTCGGGTAGCAGAGCAAGGATTGCAAGCTGGAAGAAGGCCGGCAATGCTCCAATTCCCACAATCCATCGCCAGCCTCCAGTTGTACTAGAAAACAGCCACCCGACTATGTATGCCACCACCTGGCCACCGGTGATGAACAGACTGAGGATCGTGACAAGTCTGCCTCTTGCGTGTGAAGGAGCCAGCTCGGAGATATACCTAAAGAGATTGCCCAGCATGTTAACAATCATCAGACCTTCCACGGTCATGTTTTTGTCACGGCTCAAGATTCTCAGTCCCGCCTGACATGACAACACGACAACATGATACAGCCAACCTACAATGGGGTCACCGCACTCGCGCTACCAACAGCGAGACCAACAATGCTGCGCCCAAGAATCATACCCCAAACCTGGCTTGTAAATGCCTGTACCAAAGCTCCAAGTGCGAACAACAGATCTGCACCAAGTATGACCTTCCGACGGCCAAACTTATCCGCCAGAACCCCGGTAAACGGGCTCGCAACCAACGCAAATAGGCTGGTACAGGATGTTATGAGGCTTTTATCGAGTGTTGTCAATGTCCGGTCCGAAAGATCTGACCCGATGGTCACCAAAGTAGACGAAATAACACCTGTGCTACAAGTTCCGACGATGGTTAGTGAATGGGAGGATCAATGGAGCAATACGGCGTGCGTGGTAGGAGCTAGCATACTCATATCCAAATAGTAGACCACTTATCCCAGCGGAGAAGGTCAACGCCCATATGAACCAGCCTCCTGAGTATTCCAGCTCAGAGGCCAAGCTCTCATCGTGCTCATTGTCATCATGGTCTGAAGAGGGGCGGGATGAGGCGAGCAAAGGGGCATGAGGACCTGACTGGTCTTGATCATCTGCACCTGACATATCTTCGGACTCTTCCAGCTCTAGCCCTGAGGTATCATCTGGAATTTATCCCCTGGGCATCTGAGACAGTAAAGTGATGTCCGGGGTTGATCACGATAAGCCGATAAGGAGACCCACTCAAAGCCCGAAGCGGAACTCGGATTCCGCACGCCGGTGTGGTCCAGTACGTTGTAAGCAATGATGGAGGGTGAGAAGAAGAAAGAGATAGGGTTGGAAGATTATGACCTTGGTGGAAATTGCTCTGTCTAGTTATACGCACTGGAGTCGAATAAAGGCCTCACCTATCAGGCAGAGCGAAAACTACGTGTGTATGTAGACTGCAAGAAATAACAATAATGGTCATAATGTAGATTCATGCGGGATATTCATAGCTTTTGTGGCATTAATCTGTACATGTAGCCCTCCTACCCTAGTGTTTAGCCACAACACCGGCAGCATCAGCCTGTGCGGCGATCTTCTTCTTGTAGGCGTTGACGGTGCCGTCGAATTTGTGAACAGTACCGCCGTCACAAACCCAGAGACTGGTGCAGACATTCTGCAACATGGTCACATCGTGGGAAACCATCACCACACCACCCTCGAACACCCGGAGTGCATCCGACAGGGCATCCATACCCTCGATATCCAAGTGATTGGAGGGTTCGTCAAGAACAAGGATATGAGGATTGGTCAAGGACAAGCAAGCAAATGCAACACGAGATTTCTGACCTCCAGACAGCAGTTCCATACGTTGGAGACCGGTTGTACCAGTGATACCAAACCTATAAGATGAGAATTAGTCAATGCAGTAGATGCAGGTGGTTTGGATAAACCTACGCTCCCAGGTGTCGTCGGTACTCTTCGTCGGTTTTACCGGGGTATGTCTTGGTCATGAAGCCGACTGCACTGGTAGTCATGTCCAAAGCATCGACGTGATGCTGGGCAAAGAACCCAATGCGCAGTCTCGAGTTTGTGGAGATGAGACCGCTTGTTGGCTCAAGCTGGTTGGTGAGTAGTTTCAGAACTGTGGTCTTACCAGCACCGTTAGGTCCGACAATTCCAATACGCGAATCAAGTTGAACATCCAGGTCGACATCCCTGAGAAGGGGCTTGTCCTTGGTGTAGCCGAAGCAAACATCGGACATCTGGACAATGGGTGGTGAAAGCTTCTCGACTCCAGGGAACGCGAAGTGCACGGTGTACTCGGCCTCTGGAGCTTCAAGGACCGGCATGCGCTCAAGCTTCTTGATTCTTGACTGTGCCTCAGAGGACTTTGCGGCGTTGTATCGGAACTTATCAATGAATGCTGATGATGATCGTTAACACAGCCCCCATGATAAGATGGAAGGGGTGACAAACCTTGCAAGTGTGCTCTCTCGCCCATTTGCTTCTCGTATTCGCGTTTAGCAGTCTTCCGGCGCTCCTCCTTGGTTGCATAGAAAGATTCTACAAGTTGTTAGAGCCATTTATAGTCTTGGGGTTTCGTGTAACTTACCGAAGTTAGCACCTCTGTAGTAATCCAACCTCTCGGAGTGCTGGTGGATAATATCCGTGGCGACTTCGTTCAAGAATGCACGATCGTGAGAAACCACAAGGACTGTGCTAGGGTAACTTTGAAGGTAGTTGGAAAGGAAAGTAATTGACGGAACATCCAACATGTTAGACGGTTCTGTGGAATGTCAGTAGGCTGCGTGTGGAATAAAGAGACCAGTGCTCCATACCGTCAAGCAAAAGCAAATCTGGCTCGCAGAATAGAGCTCGTGCGAGAGACAAACGCATTCTCCAACCTCCGGAGAAGGTCTTGGTGGCGTACTGCTGGCGCTCTTGGGAGAAACCAAGACCAGCCAAGATACTGGCCGCACGGGATTCGGCCTTGTCAGACTCCATTTCTGAGAGCTTTCCGTAAATATCACTCAATGTGATATCCAGGCCCTCTCGTTGCTCGTCGAGTCTAGCGGCATCCTTCGAAGTATCCGCCAATGAGGATCTTTCTTCTTCGATGGCCGCCAGCTGTTCCGAAATTTTCTATATGGACGTTAGTGAATATGCCGCCGTGATATCTTGTGACTGGACTAACCGCTTGTTCTGAGAGAAGATGTTTCCGCCACACATCGGCATCCAACACTGCTTGTAAAGCTGGTGTATCGTCACCAGTAATCTATGGTAAAAAAGAAACCCAAAAGTCAGTAAGAGAAACAGAAACCGAGCTTGAATTTGAACATACCTCTTGCTCAACATGAAGAATAGAAACGTGGGTCGGAATCGGGATTTCTCTGCGACTGAGAGCACGCAAAAGTGTAGATTTACCGATACCGTTTTGACCAACAAGACCGTAACGACGACCATAAGCGAGTGTGAACGCAGCATCTGTCAGAATGCGCAGGCCACTGATCGAGATATCGATGTTATCCAACTTAATGTCCTTACTCTTGGCCTGAGAGTCCGAGCCCATTTGAAGAGGGTTGACAGCCATGAAGAACTCTTCGTAGGACATAGCCTCATCAGGCTGGTTGAGCAGACGGGAAGCCTCGTAGGTGACATTCTTCATGGACTTCTTGTCCTGCTTGGCGCGAATCTTGCGCTCGGCCTTCTCAAGCTTCTTCTTGTCCACCTTGGACTCCATCTTTCTAGCATTGGCGGATTCCAAGTCGACTGTGTTTCCAGTCAGACCCAGTGTAGAAGACATGTTCCGCTGCGCGCCGACATTGATGGTCTGTTCAAGTTTCTTGGCCTTGAAGGGCATTTGCCTCCGCTCTGGGTCGCCATCGGAGGAGCTCAGCGTGGTGATGAACCTCGTAACTAAGTTGCCGATCGCTTCGTAGTTTTGCGGGGAGAAATCTCCCGAAGCGGAGACTAGGAGCTCGGTCACGGATTCGGCGGCCTCTGTCAAGGGGGACTCGGCACAGGCATCGTCAACATAGAGGTTTGCGGCGTGGGTCAGGTAACCCTGGTCAAATAGTCAGCTTCAATGGACTCACAATCCTCCACCGCGCATATGTGCGGAGCTACGTACCACTGAGTATTCGGTGATGATGTGGTCGAGACCAGGGATCTGGGACTGGAGTTCAGACTCCATCTTGCCAGGCTCAAGAGGACGTGCGTCACACCGAGGTTCAGGAAGCTTCGACGTCAAGAATTTGTGGAGTTCTCGAATTGATGTCCCCATCGTGAATAGTGGCGGATTTTTGGGTGTGCGTTATCGATAAGGTCACGTGACACAGGTGTTTATCATTTTATCAACTCTAGTGACCTTCCAAGGTTGGAAGCTTCAATGTTACAAATTCTGTGACAGACGTTGAATGTCAATTAATGTAAACTTCGGTCCTGCGCTGTTGAGGACGCCAAAATGAACGAGAGGTAGCTAGGTGATTATTCTTTCCCAAATATTTGCGGCTACTATACCACAATATAGTTAAGCGATTTCTGCAACGTCAACACCGAACTATATGACCATAGCTTTGCTTTAAAAGTAATTGACTCCCAAATTAAGCTGTTTACAATTATTTATTAAGCAAAAGTGGTATCGAAGGAAGTTGACTGGCTGTGTATTGCCAGTCTCTGCATGAAGTTGAAGACAAGACATCCGTCTACCTTACATAGCGAGCAGGCGTAGCATTGAGATACTATTTCTTTATGACACAGTTTTCGGTATCAAATTCCTTCAGTATTAAGATATTTTGGCAAGGTACAGTGTTAGCGATTGGTATTATGTGAGGACATCCATTCACCTACCTATGACTATCCTCCATATGGCATACGCCAAATTGGTGCATACAGAGTGTGAGTTATTCAGTCAAAACCATCGGAAATTCGAATCGGAGCCATTGCGAAAGAGAGGTTGCTGAGGTGAATTAACCTCACTTCAGCAGGTTCCCAGCCGACTAGTTGATTGAACGCAGATGGTCAAATTCTGAATCACATTGGCGTTTGTGATAGACTTGCGGGAAACAAGCATCAGATCAACCGAATGTCACACAATCCCAGTGGGAAACCCTTGGGCAGATAAAGTACGGAGTAGACGTAGCATAATGATCGACCTCAGCTCCTGCCGTCTCCCCGGTCATGGGTTGATAAGCAATACGAGGCTTTGCGATAAAGAATAAGCAAGACCCAGATCTGACCGTCTGGTCTAGAGATGTTTCGGCTACTCCGTGCAGGTAATAGCGGTAGACATGGACGGTGACGTGAAAGATGTGGCCTGACTATGATATTCTGCATCAACAACTGGACTCTGACTAAATTACCTAAATTAGATCCATGGATGGTTTTGTTAGACTGCAGGTGTTTCATAGGCAGTTTCATAGGCGGTTTTATGTTGGGAGAAGTTGCATTTGACCAGTAAAATGAAATTCGAAAAGCACAAAGGTACTGGTTAATCATGGACTGGTTGATGAAGTTATACCAGCTCGGAGGCTGGAAGAAGTTCAAAAAGTACATGTGTAATTTCCACAATTCACGCAGAAGTCGGAAATTGCAAAGCACGGGCGTACTGGGCAAATCTGCCGGAATTCGAAAGGCCAACAGTTCAACTTCAGAGTCAAGGTCGAATCGTACCTTTGTTTATTATGTGATTCCTTTTTATGGATAGTCAAGAAACCATTCGAAACATTTCAAGGTCATCCAACAGTGCAGGGAATATCTTGTTCCGGTCTGCAGGCCACTGCAGCCAACACCGATATAACGGGTGATGGCAGAGAAGAAACACAAAAGTATTGGTTCATATAATTATGTGTTGTAGTTAGCTACAATATAGGTATGAACAGTTCACACGGGACACATAGAAGACGACCAAGGAACTGTATCGAACGGAGTACTCCGTATATTGTACCCCATCGAAGTTCCATATATTGACCTTCCAAACTGAATGATTGGATATGCCGATCGCTATAACTTCGGGTCTTATGTAGGGATCGGCCTGGACTGACTTTTTAGGTTAAAAAAAAAAAAAGAAAATCTCAAATAAAAATTTTCAAGCACTTGAAACACGAGGTGCTTCTTCCCCCCACTCTTTGATACGCTAT